ATAAATTCTATTGAGAAAAAGGTGTAAGTGAGGGTTTGAGGGTTACACGTGACCAATGAATGTGAGTGATTACAGTGAATCTCTTTACATATTTATAATTACAACTACGAAAACTGAAAATTAAGCAAGTGAGGTAGACATCGATTTTTTAGTCAATTTATAAGTGGTACTGCTATTTTTTTCTGGCTGATAATTTTCCAAGACTAACATTTTTGAGAATTTATCCGGGTTAATAAAATGATAATCTTGGTTTGAGCCATATCATTTACATATATTTTCCATCTTAAAAATTACCAAATACTGGCTAATTGTCGATTTCTCGAACTGTAGGCATTGACTGGAAGTAACTGGTATTTTAGTTAAGAAAGGCTACTGGATGTAGTAAACTGTTTTTCTCTTCATTGCCAAAAAATTATGAGAATTTTTTAAAATATTCTAGAGACACATTATATGGTCTCAATAAAATAAAATTTATGAGATAGCGAATTAAAGTTCAAATATAAAATGACTTTTATAACGAAAAAAGAAAAAATATGATTTATTTCAAATCGAAAAATATTGTTGCAATTCCTTAATAAATCAGCCAATCTGCAAAAAATGCAATAAAATGCAATTTTGGCGATTATAATAATATGCCGTTTGATGATGAAATAAATTTTAAAAAAAAATATTTTAGAGAGAGCAATTCCAAAATTTAAAAATCCATAAAATCCACGTGAATTTTTATTACCCGTTGGTGCCAGTTTTATTTCCTGCCATTTCCTACATTCTTTTCAGCTGACTAATGCTCTTAATTTCTGGTTAAGTTGTTTAGCTTGCTCCGCTGGCTATCGCTGCTATGAGAAATTATTGCTAAGGAATCACTTGGCGATAGAAGTATAGGTGATCGCTACTAAACCCGGAGTGTTAATTCAAGGATTCCCCAAAAAGGGGTATTTTTTAACTTCTTTAAAATTTTTCAAAATTTCAGCAAAAATGGTTGTTCTTTTAGTAATTTCCAACTTCTGGTATTTCCTATTTGGTTTTTTCATGCTCTTGCATATCCTTAAATAAATATTACTTCGATGTTTAATGAAAAATGATTTATAAATTAAAAATTCTAGTTTTTAAAATTTTATAGTGCATATAGTGTAAAAATTTTTTTAAATTCTTAAATCTTTTTGTTCTTTATGAAGATAATTCCATAAAAACAAGAGATTTTGGAAGTAGAAAAAACAGATTTTTTATCCTGAATCGCATCATTGAGGATTTAAGACGAAATCTATCACTGAGTGGTTTTAAGCCTAGTAAAGTGACAGATCACAAGAGGAAAGGTCATGAATACTTATAATTGCATGATCGATTGTCGATTGCGATTTTGCTGGTTCTGGTCAAAATTTCTTTATCTCATTCATACAATCACAAGAATTTATATATCTGCCCATATGATATCCCACCATGATATTATCAGTTATCCTTATGGTTATCCCACAAATCATCTTGCTATCGTTAATCTCTTTTGGTTGATTCTCACCTTAAGAAGTTTATGATACCATCTGTTAATGCTTTTATTGGAAGGCCACCCGCCATATTTGTTAATAACCATTTATCTGCATATGAATAATTCAATCTGTTACATATTTAGTGATCTAATATTTTATCTCATGAATTTTCAAAATAATTCGTTTCGTTGGCTTTATCGGTATCCTCCAATTTCATCAGTAATATTTTTTCCTTTGGGTGAATTTTTTTTCGAATTATATATATATAATACATTTATGCAAAAATAATTTTTGGTGAAATTAAATTAAAGAAGCTAATGAATGAAAAGTAATGGTAATAAACAGCCAAATGAAAATTGCCGTACCAAAGACACCATTAATAAAAGCAAAGAATTTCTTTACTTTCTGGAATTCTGGAATTCAAGTAATCAGAGGTGGGCACAAGTTGTGGTGGATTTTGACCCTTAAAAACTTTTGGCAACAAACATTCAATAATTAATCCAAAATTTCCAAAATTAAATCATTTTCTCAAAATATTTTAACATACGAAAATTTAGTAATTGCGAATAATTCATTTTAAATCACATTATAATATTTTTCAATAGATAAAAAACAAAAATTCCATTTTTTGTTCTTGTGGCCTTCATTAAAAAATTTTTTCAAAAAGTTTAGGATAGCAAAGTTTTGCTCACTGCTGATTATGAATCTGATAAAAAGCATTTTATCGGTCCAAATTATTTACCATTTTAAACAATTAAATTCTATAAAAAAAGTGATTCAAATTCAAAGAAAATTTAATTCAGCGAGAATTTTATATGCACAAAATCATTTATTTTTCCAAAACACGAATGTTGATCACCAATATTTCGAAACAATATATTTCAAATATTTGGTTTCTAGTTACCATTTACGACTTGTTACAGCTTGTTTTACTTCCAACAATATTTCTGGTTTACCATTTTTGGTTCGATTGGTTCCATTGGCAATTACAATATGTGCACTTTGTCTGAATGTCACTTGAAGGTAGAAATATAGGTGAGTTCACACTTCCACCAGGATTTTGCTTTTAATATTTACTCCCTTTAGGCACAAGAATCAAGTAATTTCAATTGGTTAACATACCCATTCGTCCATATTACTGCTTAATGGTGAAAAATCATCTTATAGTGAAATATGAAGGTTTACTAAATATTGTTAAAATTTTGCAAATCCATTTAAATGCGATATTTTATGAAATAAAAATAGTCGATTTTATTTATTTTTGACTTTTCATTGAGGAAATTTTTAAAACCTATTGGATAAAAAAAATTGAGAAAAAAAATTTTATTGATATTTATATATACATATTATGTGGAAATAATGAGGAAAAAAGCTTGTAATTTTTGGATTGTCGTCATGAAAATTAATACGGTCTGCGAAAATTACAGAAAATAAAATATATAAATTGCATATTATTTATCGTAGCAGATAAACAATTTAAAAAAGGCATAAAAAATTTTTATTTCTTATTTTATTTGCTTAATGAATAACTGAAGGTTGCTTAATTCAATCCTAAATAGCATTTATATAGTTAAATTCTAGTATTATCCAACTCTTTTTTTGTCTCTGATCCAAGGGTTAAGCGAAGGGTTAAGCGAAGAATCTTAGAGATTTAGCAAAGAAAACTAACAGATTTTATAAATTTATTTGTCACTTTACTTTCGATTTCACATTTCACAGTAACGCAAATTTTTAAAAGATTTTCAGCATGTAACAGTTAAATCTATTTTTCTACAGTCCTTTCAATAGTTTTTGTGGTTCTTATAGGAAAGTAAATTTTAGATTTAATTTTAGATTTTTAGATTTTAATATAATTTTTTAGATTTAACTGTTTTTGAATACAAAATTGCATGCACATTAACATTTTATTTTAAAGAGCGTTCACCATTTCTGGTTAAGCTCACTCCGGTTAGCTTATAGGCTAATTTCACTTAGCGATATGACGACCAAGGTAAAATATAGGTGATCCGCCAGCATCATCCAGATTTTTGAAAGTACGTTTACTCCTATTGGAAATAGAATTCTCGAAATGAGAGCAATGTCTCATTGAGCCATTCTCACTTCTGTCATTAGATAAACGATCCTTTTGTTCTAATAAATGAATATTTATTAATTTTTGTTGGGTTTTAATGTTGAAAGTGATTTTATCTTATCGACTCAAAAGCAAATTTATAAAAGGCAGGTTCCTGGAATATTTAGTAACTAGATTATATTATCGGAAGCAACAATTTTTCAATATTTTGAAAAAAGGCATTGTTATTAGGAAAATAATCAGATAACCAATCAAATATTTTTTAAAATGCATCACTCATTTTTACATTTTTAATCGATCTACTGGTCTATGAATGATTTAGCTTACTATCTGCATGCAGAATTTTCTTCACAATCTATGCGAATAGAATTCAAATCTGTAAGATCAGACTTTTTTGATTTCCTAAAGCTGCTGGAAATATTTTGTTTAAGGAAAAAAGACTGTCATTTTAACTGGAAATTTAAAAATAGTGCGAATGATTTGCTTCCAGAATTAACATTCGAATACGGAAGTTCGGGCATTGTCGGATATCGGACATGGTTAAATTAAATTTTGTTAATTATTTGTAAGGTTCCAATTTGAATAAACTGCGAAAAAAATCTGTAAGATTCCATTCTCAACAAATAGGAATTATTCAAATGTAAGCCCGAATAAATTTTTTTAAATTCATTAATTTAAAAATGGATTGATTTCTTTAAGACATTTCACCTTTCCATTTTCCGCAGTTTTCATTTAATGAGATGTTTTTTCTTATAACAATAATATAAATTAGTCATGCAGGTTGTCTTTTTAATTTATTTGAAAATATTCCAAGTTTTAATAAACGAACGAAGAAAGCGAGAGAAGTATGGTCGAGTGGGAATTTCTTCGACTAAGAAATTTATCACATTCTCGTTTTATTCTCGTCTCTTTACAAGAGAGTAAGATAGAATAAGTCGTTAAAAGTGAAAGCTGAATGGAGTCTCATCTGTTATGCTATTTTCGCGACTTTCTCGCAATCACATCTTAACATCCAGCCAAACCAGAAGTGGGAGCTATTAGAAAGAGGCAGAAGAAAGATCTGTGAAGACTTATCGATGATCAAAATAACTTTACACGCGATAAAACCGTTAAAAATTGTGGTGATGGTCACAATTAAATTCTGTAATTTTAATTTTTTAATTAATCAAATAATTTTTTGAGGAATTTTTGTTGGAATGAGTTTGCGGATTGATTGCAATTTAACTTTTTATAGTAATTTCAATCGGATCTCTTCTTTCGTTATTAAGTCCAGTTTTCGAGAAATTTTCTTTCCTTCTAGAGAATAAATAAAATGTAAATTTTCATTTGAAAATTCTTTTCAAGTTGTAAATGTCATTTACCGCCTTTCAGCGTTCAACAAAATCGAAAAAATTCGGGAAAAGTTGAAATGTCATTATTATCTTTTAATAGTGATAAATGATTATAGGACATTGATGACCTTGCTCGATTATTCACCACTTTCTATAGATCATTGTAATAAATCATCAATGTCATTACTGCGGTTTACTGGATAGAAAAGCCTTTTTAAAAAGCAACCGAATATCGCAGATTCGTTTCATTAAAACAAATTTTAAAAAAGACCAAAAGTGAAATAATAAAAAGAGTATGTGGATGTATGTCACCTGGAAAACTATTCAGATAAATATAAGATTTGGTTGTTTTTTCTCGGAAGGTTGTTTGCAGAGGATGAAAACTTGATAATTGAGGTTGCATGTTTACAGGTTTGAGGTTGTTCAAATTTCTTTTTTCTCCATCATAATATGATTATATTATTGGTACTAGCGATCATTAGTATTCTGGGAGTACTGCTTTTCTATCCCAAAAGATTTTATGACGAAAGGATTTCGCTATGGTTATCAGAAAATGGCGTGTGTAAAAAAACTTAAATCATAATATTCGAATGAATTTCTAAAATATGCGGATATTTGGTATTTATATGTGGGACAAAAAGATGGAAGTGAATTGAGAGTGAGAATTGAAAAAGAAATATATAGCACTTCCATAGTTTATATAAATTTAATCTTTGCGCAGGTTGGGCACATCTTTGGATTTAGAACAAAAATTTTATGGAAACTGAAGTTCGGTTTAAATTAATATCCGAATAAATTTGTCTTCAGATTCTTACAATGAATCAAATCAGCCACTTTACTTTTATGGTTCTCGTTAAAAATTCTGGTTGAAGATTATTCTGAAACTTTTGGTCAAAATTTTACGAATATTTATTTTAACTATTAAAATTACTTTTTATTTGACTATTTATTGGTAATATTACTAATGAATGATGCTTTCAGGGCAAATGTATGTCCACATGAAGAAATCGAAATTGTTACACTTAGAGAACCTTGTATTAAAGCATACACAAAATATATAAGGACCAGAAAGCCTGGATGTAATGGCCAATTTCGGACGTGTTCTGTTAGAGAACCCAAGTAATTTATTTAAGATCATTTATTTATTTCAGAAACAATATGTAGTAGGGAAGCAAGAAGCCATGCGCTTATATATGTATTTTCATATTTGTGTAGTGTATTTTTTAGAATAAATTTGCTTGAATCCTATGTCAATATCAGCTAGTCGTTGCATTTCATTAATAAATTTCCTAGGGGAAAATAAAATCCAGAAATTAGAGATAGAAAAGGATATAAATATTTATAAATTGCTCTAGCGAATCAGAACAATTAAATTGGATAATTTTGAAGTCATAGTGGAAATCGACAAACGTCAACCAAGTGCTCGAAAAAATTTTTTTTTGTGTTTTAAACATCTTTAGCTTCAAATAATTCAAAAATAACAGATTAAAAAATCATTAAAGAGCAAATTCATCCAATAATAAACAGTTTTATTGAAAAATTGATTTTTAAAAGTTCAAATTTATTTAAAACAGAAAAATTAAATTTTTTAGGAATATCAAATAATCGAAAAACCAAAAAATCATTAATTCATTTTTTTCCGAAATGAAAGTCATTTTTTTTTGATGATCTTTTAATCCAACGAATTTCAAGCTTTTAATCCATCAAAATTCCGAATTCAAGCAATAAAATTAAAGAAAAATCTTAGTACGAAGATAATCCTGAAAGCAATCCTAAAACTTTTGGGATCAAAATGAGTTCAAAAAGATTAATGATAGAATGATAAAAAAGATTAATAAAAAAGAAAAATGTTTTTTTTTGACATTTATCTTCCACTCTTTTTTAATCTGAACCCTTTTCGCCATTCTTTTTAAAAAAGAACTAAACACTTCAGAAAGATAAAAATTGTTCAGAAATGTTTTTAATTCTGCTAATTCCATTTTTCGCACAATATGATGATATTGCATTCTACCTGGGATCAAAATTTACAGAACTGTTTATTATCGAACGTACAAGAATGTCACAAGGACTAGGAGGCACACAACAGTGCAATGTTGCTCAGGTTGGATTCATCTTCCAGGTCAAGAAGGATGTCAAAGAGGTTCGTTAATATTTTCAAAATTCATTGTTAATTTCATTAATCTCAAATTTTATCCCCAAGGTTTTCGTATTGATAAATGAACTTATTTGCCATTTATAATTATTCAACATTTGTACTAATATACAGTGGCGAATCATTACAAACTGATAATTTTAAAATTTTATAGCTATTTTTATAACGAAGGTATGTTCTTGTAAGATATTTAATGAGCGTTTAATTACTTATATTGCGGTTAATAATCCAAGAAATGTGCTCAATTCTTTTGAGTGCCACTATACCGACTATCTTCTTGATATCTCTTGATAACATCTAAAATGTGGTAAATAGAAATATCCTAACCAAATTGATATGCCATATAAAATATTTGCAAATTAAGATATAACTCTTGAACAGAATGAGAGCCGAGTGTATAGAGATTTAGACTGAGAGGGTTCAGTTGCTGCTCTCAACAGAAGTAAATCTGTCATTAAGAATTGTGGGTAGTTCTGGTGATGCTTTATATTACCAAACCCCTCCTGGGAATAAAAATTTCTGACCGTATACAACCTGAATGCAAGCGGCGAAAGCCTGAAATGCTAAGCGCTAACCACCTAATTGCTTAGTGTTTAAAAAAATTATTTTTATATATTTATTACGAATAAAAGCCTAATAAAAAGTGAAGCATTTCAAGAGCTAACAATAGTTGTTCAATTAGTTGTGAGCAATTTCCGACTAAATTATAAAATTTGATTGCTCAGGACGAAATAATCCACATCCAATCTTTATGCATAAAAGAAGCATTAAATTTAAGATGTCGGTCGATTTAGAGGTTTGAAAATAGAAAATTGAGCTAAATCTATTGTTTGATGAATTTAATTGGATATGACTGGCACTGCTTGCATTTTGCACTAAGCACTTTGAAATATAAATTTCTGGTGACCAATTTCCTTTTCATCATATCACAAATATCACGATATTTCTCATTCACCTGCCTTCGAATAAATTTTTGAAATGGGATATCACATTAATAAACATATATATCCGAACAATATTTGTTCGTGGTAATCTTTACTGTTTCATAATAAACCACATTGCGATTTTGTTTACTTACATAAATTGAAATTCCCAATGTTTTGTATACATATATGTATACAAATATATACAATGTATTAAGGTAGAAAACCTGAGCTAGCAAACACTGTATGCGGAAAAATGGACTGAATCGGAACCGGAAATAAGGAAAGGAAATATAGGAAAAATTTTTATTCAGCTGCGTGGAAGCTACTATTAATTCCCTTGGAATTCAAGATTTAATTTTCAATTTGTAAAAATATATATTGAACGATTGTTTCTGGCTAAATTCGGCTAAAAGAAAAAATTTCCACTTTTTATAAGTTTTTTTTAAAATTAATTAATTTTGAGATGAAATTCTAAGTAAAGCAATTTTTATTTTCAAGGATTTCAAATTTTTTTACATTCTTTAATTTCTAAATTTAAAAAATTAAAAAATTTTCAAATCTTATAAAATATTTTCGATGTGATGGTAAGCTAAATTCCAGTTTATGCTGAGGACCCTTATTCCCTAATAACTCTTTAAAAAATGAAATGAACCTTATTCTTCCAGTCAGTAAAACCAACCAAAATGAAAAATGGTAAATGCTATTAAAAAATGCAAATAAAATAAATTCAAATTATTGCAATTATCAAATTATAATATAAAATTGCCTAATTTAATTACCATCATTTTAAAATCCAAAATTTCATCTATTCATATTCGTATTGAACATTTCATTTACTGTCCTTAACTTATTGCCCTTTGCTATAACTTACTTACTTTGGCCCTATAACTTACTTTGGACTGAAGGATTTCAAAAACTGTGAATTTGAAATTATTGAGATTTTATTGAAGGCGAAAATAGAATTACCGACATTGATAAATCGTTGTCTGATTATGTGCTTAGAATGATTAATGAAGAGATTAGATTTGGAAAATTGTTTCCAATGACAACAGTGAAATTTAATTATTGAATTTAAGGGTTAGTCTTTAAAGTATGGATATGATAACTGAATTGATAGTGATTCAGATTGATTTGAGAGGGATTCAGATTTTGCCCCAGAAAGGAATACACCTTTCATTAAAAAGTCTGTATAATGTTGGCGACTTTTGTGTTCCTATTTCCAAGTGATTTCCTGACATTGTTAGCGAAATTGGCCAAAAATGATGCGAGTAACCGTTCTTTCTATTCATTACACACGAAATATTTTTTAGTAATTTCAGCAAATTGCACATCAGAATTGTGTCATAATGGTGCAACATGCATTCCTGCACAAAATGGAACAGAGGAGATTTGTCAATGTTCCTTAGGATTCCAAGGAAGCCGGTGTCAATATGGTATTTTGTTTTATTAAAATTCTCAAGAAATTTCTAGCTGAACAGTTCCACTATTACTTTTTGTACTATAATTATATTTTTATTATTTGATTATGAATTTGTTTTGTAGTTATCTTCAGGCCAAGGTAAAATAAAAATGAAAGTGATATTTTTTAATCATATATATAAAATATTTCTTAAATACACCCCTTTAACAAATAATAAAAATTCACTTCCTATTTTTCTATATTCACTTCTTATATTCACTATATTCACTTTATTCGATTATGGTATCGCCTCGTTTTTACATGGCTCTTTTATACTATAATTATATTTTTATCAGTATGAAATGTACTTTCTGGTGTGGATGAAAGAAATATTACCAAATGACTGGAGCAAAGCAATTCTGCTTCCAATTCCTAAGAAAGATAACAGGACAAATGGAATAAGCTTACTAGACATCTCAATGAAAATTTTTGCTTCTCTTTTACTCAAAAGACTTATGGAAGTACGAAACAGCAGGATGCGCCCTAATCGAGCTGGATTCACACCGAGGGACGGTTGTGCTGACCAGATATTCGCGTTAAGAAGGGTATTGGAACATCGCTTCAAATATCTACAACCCAACATTACGTGTTTCAACGACTTTGCGGTTGCCTTTGATTCAATTGATAGAGCGCCGCTTTGGAGGATGATGGAACATGACGGTGTTCCAGAGAAAATCATTAGACTCATAAAGGCATTTTTTGAGCGCACGTCGGCGCAGGTCTGTGTAAATGGGGAGGGATAGATTCCTTCGAAATAAGAACAGGTGTCCGTCAGGGCTGCTTCATTTCCCTTACAATATTCAACTATGCGATAGACTGGATAATGGACCTCTTATCGGCATTCAAGAGGTGTCCGAATTAGTCCAGAGCATCGTATCACAGATGTTGAATACGCTGATGATGTAGTTCTTTTTGCTGACAGTTATAAAAAATGCAAGTAATACTAAATAAAGTGTAAGAAACTGCAGCAAGAATCGGACTCAGGATCAATGTAAATAAAATGAAAGTCTTTTCGTCTTATGTGCATGAAATTGATAAAGTGCCTCTTTTTGTAAATTCATTGCCGGTTGAGGAAGTGCCCGATTTCAAATACCTTGGGTCCACTCTAATAGCTAGGCAAAAGACGGAATTACAACCCGAATAAGGGCAGCTAGAAATGCGTTCTTCCGCTCGACAGAACCTTTATGGAACTATCGCGAAATCACCATAAAAACGAAAGTCTGCATCCATATAGCTGCAATTTGTTCCATCTTGTTATGTGGTGGCGAGATATGACCGAAAGTGGAGGAGTGGAGGATATTAAGCAATTATCTGTCTTAGACCATACATATTTAAAATGCATTTTAATACGGGTTCATCAAGTGGATAAAATCTCACATAATCACATCTACCTTCGTTCAAATACCATTTGCATTAACAGTACCATCACAGAGCGTCACTTCGCTGGATAATGCTGGTTAACATTCTTCGTTATCAAATATTTCGTTACTTGCTAAATCCTGATGGTGTCAAAGGCGAGGAGGACCAATCAAGACCTGGACTGACACGGTCTTAATAAGCTCTATAGAAGAAATGTGTCGATATGGCCCATCTTAGGTTTTTATGTTAATTGTATTTTCTAAATTTTTAAATTTCACTAGCGAAAAACCAAGCAAAAAAACATTTTTAAACTTAGAAATAAGTAAAAATTTTTTGATGGATTAAGAGAATTATTTATGCCGAAAAAATAAAATGCTCGTTAAATTATGACTTCTTTCACAAATGGTTTATCTTTTTAAAATACAAAATTTAGAGTAAGATATAAATATAAATAAATTAATATTTATAATAAATAATTTGATAATTTGTAGATTAATGTTGAATAAAATATCAACAATTTAACTGAGAAATTTTTACAGTTTATTATTCGTTACTTTCTTTCGCTAATGAAATAATTTACAATAATTTATCAATGATTTATTTTAATTTAAGCCCAAAATCCATTTTTCTCTTTAATTTCAATTTAATTTCATTATCGTTTTTATTTTGAAATAATTGAATTTTATTACCATTAGTTTTATTTTTTGCACTAATAAATAATTAGATCCATTAAGATATAAATGAATGCGTTGTGGATAATGGTGGATGCCATCATGACTGTGTCAATACAATCGGAACATTTTACTGTCGATGTTTTCCAGGATTTCAACTGGATATTGATCAAAGGCGTTGCATAGGTAATTATCTCGTATATACATGAAATCTGCAACTGAAAATAATATGAACTGATAATTTAGAAATGAAAATTTTTTAAAAACAAGGTTTTCACCACTTCTTTCCTTTCTGATTTTTTCCAAAATCGGTTGAATTTCTATGAAAAATTTTAAAAAAAATATTTCAATTTTCTGCATAATTCCCACTCTTTGCTTTATTTTATAGCGATCGATTTGAATATAGTTTTCGTCTTCATCATCATTTAATATTTGAATAATCATCCATCTTTCTTTGAAGACATCAATGAATGTTTAATGGACAATGGTAAATGCGAATATCGTTGCGTGAATACTGAAGGGGGGCATCGTTGTGAGTGTCCTCCTCGTAAGCAACTTCATTCAGATGGACGAAAATGCGTTTGTATGCTGATTTTTAATTTATTATTTAATTTATTATTTTCCAGCGAGAACAGACGAATTTCTACAAATGTTTGAAAAATCTTCGATATTTCAATGGTAGATAGTGAGAAAAAGAGCTTTTTTCCAAAAAAAGAATTTTAAGCAGGCTTACGGTAATAAAAACCTAGTATGCATCTTGTACATCGTTCCACACCAAATTTGATACTCACAGAAAAGATAGAGATTACGAGTGGTCTACTGCTTCCGTTGAGGGCATTCGATTTCTATTATTGCGCAAGGAATCTAAGTGAATACTCAATTTATTTTTTTGTCCATACTCTCACTTTGAAATAAAATAAAATTTTTCATCCCCAAACATCCCCAAATTAGTAAGGTTAGCCAAATGGGGAAAGGCACGTGAATTTATGCTTTTTCGCTCATGAATGGGCCATCTAATGTCATTTTGTCAAAACTTCAAACTCCTCTTATCTATGACCGTAAAAGCAGTCGATACATAGTTGCATATAAAAAAATAGAATCGCTCTCATAATACATCATACATCTGATTTATAACTTATTTTACCTATTTTGACTAATGTTAGTGAATGAATTTCTTCTTTAATAGATGACTTGAACTTGATTTCCATTAAAAGCCTTTAATTAGCATACTAATGACGGCGTTGCAGCATTATCATAATCCAAATTTTGCTAAAAAATAGCCATAAAAAATGAATAAATAGTCCAAATGGTTTCAGCTAAGAATAAATGCAATATTGATAATGGTGGTTGTGAGCATTTTTGCGAGGAACACAGTGGAAAATTTTATAGGTGCAAATGCAAGCGTGGTTATCGACTTGCCAGTGATAAACGCAAATGTCACCGTATGCTATATCTTTCAGTTTTATTAGAAGTATTTTAAAAGTCTGTGAATAGAAAGGAGGTATGAAGGAATATTGTTAATTTGAATACTGTTAATTTCATTTTTGTAACATTAACTGGAAATAATTATATATCATAATGTATTTTAATATATATATATACATGGGGTGGACCTGCCATCAGGAAATATAGCAGACATACAGGCTAGCTACAAGTACCTTGATATCCCAAATTCACATGGTAGCCAAGATAAGGAGGAAAGGAAGATCTAACATCTAATTATCACCAAGGGACAAAACAAATTTTAAAAAGCTCAATGAGATGAACAAAAAAAATCCATGCCATAAATATTTGCCTTGCCAGTCATCAGGCAGCTGGCATTAAGATGAACAAAGGAAAAATGGAGGTTGCTGATGTAAAGAGCAGAAACTCCTCCCTCCTCATTCCAAATCCAGTACTCAAAGGCTGTACATCCGGCTATCTTGAACAAACGAAGCATTCAGAAATATATCAGCGATATATATCAAAGGATGAACTGTTGAGAGAATGTTTGAAGCATATATTGGAAAACGTTCAAGCAGAGGAAATACCATGGCAAAGCTTTCTACGCATTGCATCAACAAATAGCTATTAAATAGCTGACACTGCGAAATTCTACAAATGGTTGGATAAGGCGAAAATCTTGTGGGACTTCCCAATCCAAACAGACATGCAAATATTGGCCAATCAACCAGATATCGTGGTAATAAATAGAAATCACTGGTAATTGATACTAAGGAACGTCAAAAAGAACGTCAGAAAGAGATGTTAAAGAAATACCAAGGACTGAAAGAGGAACTAGAGAAAATATGGAAAGGCCGAAGTAATACCAGTAGTAATTGGAGCACTTGGAACTGTGACCCTAAACTAGAAAAGTGCCTTCAGAAGATTCCAGGAATAACATCAGGGATCTCTATCTAGAGTAGCGCACTATTAGGAACAGTTTAAGATACCGCACAGAACTTTCAACCTCCTAGGCCTCTGGTAGAGGATCCGAGGTTGAAGATGACCATGATTACCCACGTGAGGGTGAGAGAAAAAGTTAGTAAAAATATTATTCACCAGCATTATGATTATCAGTGTAATTCAGCTATTGACCCTTGCTTAAATGATAAAGCTGGGTGCCAACAACACTGTGTTAATGTAAATGGAAAAGCTGTATGTCAATGCTTTGGTGGCTTTCAACTGGCTCCTGATCGCAGATCATGCATGGGTAAGTTTCGATATTTTCAGCAACAATTTATGAGAAAGTGATAATTTCAACTCTGAATTCTGAATTGAACAAATGGTTAAATGCCATCTTTAATGAATTTTTTTAAATACATGGGTCAACTGTATCAGCAACCCTCAAAGTTGTGTCCGCGGCCTTCTTGGTATCAGAGACTTTTCACTAGTGGCCTCAAACCTATCAATAATATTTAGAACATAGAACATAGACAACCTCTTATTTATTATAAGTAATCAGTAGATAATAAGAGGAACTAATCAAATTCGACTAATCAATGTCTTGGATTTGTAATATGTGATGTCGTTCAGTATAGTTGAATACCACCAGCGATTTGACTGTTGTGTTGAGTCGAGTCGAATTGAGTGGTGTTAGGTTGGGATAAGTTGTGAATCAAACGAGATACACCAATTTTTATTCCGTAAAAACACAATACTGATTTAACACAACAGGATTCATATCTCATTTAAAGTGGGAGTCGTTTACATCAAAAATTCCAAGCATTTTAATAAGATACGATTAGATTAGCGTGTGAATTGGAAAAGCATTTCTCTTATAATAGGAATACAAAGATATGAACTTTAGAGAGAAACAAAAAAAACATGGGAATTTGACGGGAAATAATCCAAGGAATGCAAAATGACTCATAACAGAAAACATTTATTTTATTACTTATTTGTTTGGAATTTGGTGGGAGTTTCGCGATATCAGAATTCGTGACAATCAACGCCAAATTTCAGCTCACGTTCATATTTTTTTTTCAGACATTGATGAGTGCTCATTGAGAGAAGGAGGAGGCTGTCAGCATGAATGTATTAATATTTTCGGGTCATATCGGTTAGCTTTTAGCTTTTTAGCACTTTCTTTTAACTAAAATCTTTTGGTACAGGTATTTCAGTAGATTACATTACATTATTGCAGATGTCGTTGTCATGAAGGTTTTCAACTTTCTGAAGATGGACGAAGTTGTAATCAAAACCTAGATGGATGCAAGGTTACATTTGCTACATTATATATGGAGCCTCATATTTGCTAGTGGAAATAAGAAAATTTTTACTTCATTCTCTTTCTTTTTTTTGCAGTTATTGCCACTGTGATCATTGGAACCGTCATCATTTTGATTTCTTTCGATATATAGTACTACTTTGACGTTTTCTTTCTGATATTATTTCTTCCATTTAATTTTCTCAAACGTGAAAGCAAGTGCGTATGAAATATAGTAGTAGCGTTAGGCACAAAAATTTTTAGTGTAAAGATTGGGCTAATGACTGAGAATTTATCAAATTTTTGCCAAAATTTTAGATAGGAAATGGTGGTTGTCAACATGACTGCTATGATCAGCCTGATGGAGGAGTAAAGTGTGGCTGTAGATCTGGGTATCAACTTATGGCTGATCGCAAATCATGTTCAGGTATTACGCAATGTATCGAAAATTTAATGATGAAAATAATAAAAAGTGTGAATTAGTTTCCATTAAGGATTAGTGGGAAAAATCAAGCATCACTTTAGCATTACCTATAATATGATCTTTTCCGATCTCAACTTCTCACCAATTTTCTTTTCCTTCACCAATTAAAAACCAAATAAAATATCTCTTACTACTGAAGCATGTGTTTTTTAAAAAATATGTTCGAATCACTTTTTCTACCAATACAAATACACCAATACAAGATCAGTTTGGAAGAGATTTTGATTTAACAAGGTATATTTTATTCATTTGATTCATAATTTAAGATATCAACGAATGTAACATCAACAACGGTGAGTGCGATCAAATCTGTGAGAATATGCCTGGTTCTTTTCAGTGTTTTTGTAAACAAGGATATATGATGACTCATACTGGAAAAACTTGCGAAGGTTTCTTTAAATATTTCTCGATTAAATCATAGGTGGTTACTTAACTGATTTTTCATGTTAAATAAGAAATCTTTAATTTTCTACCTCTTTGAAATTCTTCTGCTAAAAATCATGAATACTGGATAGCTATTGAATGGAATGAACGAAAGAACCAATTTAGTTGGGTTTCAAAAATGGGAAAATTATAGACATCAATGAATGTGTATCAAATAATGCCGGTTGTGAACAGAAGTGCTTTAATGAAGATGGAGGATATAAGTGTGAATGCGAAGGCGGATATAGGTTAGCTGACGATCAACATTCGTGTCAAGGTATCTCGTGAAGAGAAAGACTTTTGATTTTAACAGATCGTATGAGCAGATTTCAACTTATGGAATAAAATGCAACTTGGTGAAAATCGCTAAAAATGCTGAGAAATATTTATGTTCAGATATAAATGAATGCTTGAATAACAATGGCGGATGCAGTCATTTATGTAAGAACGAAGTTGGAAGATATCATTGTGAATGTTTTGCTGGTTTTATTTTAGCAAAGGATGGAAGAAATTGCATCGGTATGATTTCGACGTTTTACAGTTTTTAATGTTCGAATTAATGGGGTCGAATTAATTCGCAAAATTTTGAATTGGTGGGTTTCATTGACCATCAAGGGAAAACCATTCATCAGGGATTTGAAGGTTCAGGTGGGTTTAGCCTCTAATGGTATCCGGACTTCATTTTCAGTCATGAATTTCTCATGTCAACTAATGGTGCTTGGTCTCAGTAAAGAGATGTATTCAATAACTCTTCCTCAGGGATGAATTTGTTAATTAAAAAATATTTTAGCAGCATCTGATACAGTTTTACTACAAATTGGGCAAAGTAAGTAAATCCAAGCTTGATTCACATTTTTCTTCTTTAATTGTTTTAGTTGAAGTTAGGCATGTTAGTGGTTTAATTTGGTTCTAACGCTTGTTCTTCTAATGCTTTTGCTATCATTCATATATATCGTGGTGGAGAATCTAAATTGTTTGCTTAATTTGTAATCCTTGCATGTATCTCAATTTCAGAAATGATAACTGATGATATCCAACCAGATTCTATAATGTTTAAACCCACCAAATACCAGATAAAGAATCAGATAAAAAATCCAATAAAAGGGCTTATCTATGAGTCGAAAGCAAGAATAATATCTCGAATTTCGAGAGGTCAAATTTCTCTCAATCGAATACCTTTTTTTTCAGATTTTTTAGATTCTTTAACCAATTTTATGCATGAATAGTATATGCCATTTATTTGGTTCAGTTTATCGATGGTAATCGTTGCAAGCACTGCATATTATTAATCGTTCTAGCTATAACTATTTGAAATCCCCGAAATCTATTTAAATTTTATATTACTTCCATTCGAAACCATAGATATTGTGATGTATGTTGTACTTTTCGCGCTGTTTCGGGATTTATTTCGAAAAATTTGCTTAGACTTGATCAAATATTTTTTCCTTAAGAAATTCTTAAAATTTTTATGACAAGTTTAGTCGCCATGAGATTGAATTCGTCAGAGAAAATTGGATTTAAAAATTTGAAGCTAATAGTTCCGTAGATGCGATTTTGAATGGATACTTTTGGTCACCGAACAAAAATTTTCATGAGATTTTGTTTTCTCGATTTTTGTTTTAAGTCCTAATTTAAATGGTAAACAAATTGCGTTATATTTCACTAGATATTATATATTGATAGATTCTACTTTCCCTATTTGCTTGAATTTATCAGTTGTTTTCAGCATGTGAATATGGGCATTTTGGCATTGACTGCCAGTATAGTTGCAAAGATTGTCAAAATGGAGGTATATTTTTGTTTTGTATCATTTTAAGCAAAAATCCTTTGGTACGATTGAGTGGATTCCGATCACGAAGCAAGTTCAAGCATATTAAGCTCACATTAATTTCCATTCTAATTCGTCCTTTCAATTTTTCATCATTACATTTAAAGATTTTATACTTAAATATCCTCATATTATTTTGTTATCAGGGCGCTGTAATCGTCACAAAACATTTTGCGAATGTTCGATTGGATATAAAGGAGTTTTATGTGAAGAAAAATGCCCGGAAGGAACATGGGGATTTGGATGCACGCAGATCTGTGACTGTGATGGTCAAACATGCAACCATATAACGGGAGAATGTTCTTGCCCGCCTGGAGTAAAATGCGACGACGATTGCCCTGAAGGTAAGGTTCACTGATGTATATTAATAGATGAAGTTAAAATATTTTTAAAATTATAACAAAAATTTTAAAAACTATAAAATTATAAATTATTAAATCAAATCATAATAAGTTAATTGGTTAATTGGTTAAGCTAATTGGTAAAAGAATCCGAAAAAAAGTCTACATTATATTTAAACATGTATATTTAAAGGTTTTTATGGCCCATTTTGCGAACTTCCATGTCGTATGAATTGTTCGTCGGGGCATTGCGACAGATCATTTGGTTATTGTAATTGCCCTCTTGGTTTATTTGGAGAGAATTGTGACCAAGAATGCCCAAAATTTACATACGGAAAAAACTGCCGACATATTTGTAAATGCGTAAAACAAAATTCAGAAAGTTGTGATCCGAAGGTCAAGCAAATTTTTTTTGAGGCAAATTTCTGATTGTCACCATAAAATTCAATTAAAATTTATCTAATTTTCAGACTGGTAAGTGTATTTGCAAAAGCGGTTTTTATGGACCATTCTGTAGAAGACGGTGTCCGATAGGACTTTATGGTCCCTCATGTGCCCTGAAATGTCAGTGCGAGAACAGCATGATGTGCAACCATGACACGGGTGAATGTATCAAAAAATGTCCAGCTGGTTTCACTGGCGATCATTGCTCAATGCGTATGAGAATTTTCTATTTTTTGATTCAAAAGTTGCAATAAGACTATCAACTGCACCATTTATATATTCTTTATTAAATATCAAAATATTATTCAACCTATTAACATGGTTCATTGTCCGATGCATGGTTCTAAAATTTGTTGTTTTCATGCAATTCTCGAAATAAGGTGATAAGATGGCAAATAATCCCACTGCGATAATTGAAAAAAATATTTAATCATGTTACGACTCCATATTTTATTCATAATTGTGATTTTGTCATTTAATTTAACATTTTTTTATTATTCGAATTCCGAATCTAATTTCTTAAATCACGTAGTTGACCATCTTGTTAGGATATCACTCATCCACTATTTTGTAGACGAGATTTGTCGATTTTATAAATTATAAATTTTGCCGATTTTAGATTTCATGCACTTGGTATTGTATTTTTCCTCGACTGTCCCATCATTTTGCCACTTATTTGTCTGTTATTTTCAATTAGGAATTATTTTTCAGCACCTTCCTGTACGGATAAAAATTTTTCCTTACCTTTTTTACATGTGTCTCTATTTCATCAAAATGATAAGTGAAACTGGTAGATTCATCTATAATGACATTTCAACTCGACGGATCCAAAGTCTTTGACATTTTGAAATATTAAAAAAATCTGTCAGTATTGCGTCAACATTACTTTCACCTCATAGAAATTTTACATGCTTTGTGAGTGTTTCAGTATGTTCGCCGGGTACATACGGCCAAAATTGTTCACAAAAGTGCAATTGCTCTAAAGGCGAACCTCAAGTATGCCATCATGTTACAGGCACCTGCACTTGTCTTCCAGGATTATTTGGTGCAAAATGTGATCAGCGTAAGATTCTATGCAGTTCATATAATTTTTAATATATAGATTTTTACCGGGTTCATTAATGAATTTATTCTACTGAGATGAAGCCTTCTTAATTTATGATAAAAATATAATTTAACCAAATGGTTCACGATCTTCATATTTTGCAAATTCCTTTTCTATATAATCATACATTATTGCATTGTAATTGTGTATGTGTATGTTTTGCATGGGAAATGCTCTATAATAGAAATTTATCTAATCATTTAAAATGCAGACTTTGCATGTATTGAATAAATAAAATTATTTAACTGTAATTTTATCAAATTTTAGAGAATTTTAGAGGTTTTTTTAAATTGACTAGATATTAGATATAAAACAGATAAAATCCTTTTGGCACGATAAAAATCCCGGTGAAAAGAATTCGGGATATCTTCAATGAAATATGTTTCAGTTTGCCCATCCGGATTGTATGGGCCTAACTGTCAGCATGAATGTGCATGTAAAAATGGAGCTGATTGCAACAGCAAAGATGGGTCATGCATTTGCCCTCCGGGCTTCTACGGAGCCGCATGCAGTGAAGGTTGGCTTCGAAATTTTGGCATGCTTTAGTATTAACGATTTGAGTCCTTATTTTTTTGTCATTTAAAGATTTATAGAATTTTTTTTGATATTTTCAATAGTTCCTCATTTACTGACTTAATAGTAATGAGGTTGCGAATTTTACTATTATGTTTATTTTATTTTATGGTTCTATATTAAAGCATGTGCCAACGAGAATAGTTTAATATAGAAATGAAAGTGTTAGGAAACTTGTCAGGAATGACTCTCTAAGGCTTATTTGTTGCTAATAGCTGAAAATTTTAATACCATTCATATTTTAAGTTTGTCCACCTGGTCGCTTCGGTGTAGATTGTATGAAATTATGCGATTGTCACAATGGAGCAAATTGCTCACCTGTTAACGGTACATGTGTATGTCAAGATGGCTATACTGGAGAGAAATGCGATATACCATGCGAAAAAGGCTATTATGGAAAAAACTGCAGTCAAAAATGTGTATGTGTGGGAGAAATGCGATGCGATCCAGTCGACGGTGAATGTATATGTCCCCCCGGTTATAGAGGAAAAGCTTGTAAACAAAGTACCGTTTTATATTAATTCTGCTTTTGAATCATAGAGAAATAGACTATGACCATGCTTAATTTTGGCCTGTATTAAGCATGTGAAAATGGGCGATTTGGCGCTGGATGTAAAGGCCTTTGTACATGTCAAAATAATGGAACCTGTGACCCAATTACTGGTTCTTGCAAATGTACGGCTGGTTGGAGGGCACGTTATTGCGATAGACCATGTCCAGACGGGCGATATGGCCTTGGATGTAAAAATATCTGCGATTGCACTTCTGCAGGTTTATTGCCATCTTTATTTAGAAATTTTTTTCATATCCTTATTATTTTTAAAAATATGTGAAAATCACGAATTTTGAGATTTATCTAAGAAACAGCTAAAAAAATATATCTGAAGTACCGAGCGCATTTTTTAAAATTTTTTAGCTACAGATGAAATATCACCATTTGTGACAAAATGTCATCCAGTCTCTGGCGAATGTCTTTGTGCGGATGGTTGGACAGGTCCAGATTGTAGGACTCCTTGTCCACCAGATAGGTACGGTTTGTTGACTTTAACTATCGGTTTCTTCAAAACCTTATTTTTTTTTAAGATAGAGTGAAAAAATAAATTTCCATCTTAATGTATATGCGATTTGCAGATGGGGTGTCGGGTGCAAATCCGAATGTTTCTGCCATAATAATGGCACATGTGACAGGCTTACAGGCTTTTGTGACTGCCCTTCTGGATTTATGGGTCGAAGATGTGAACAAGGTTTATTTTAACAATTTATGATATTTGTAAATGTTTGTGATGTTATTTTATTTTTTTCTTTTAATTAGCAGAAATTCAACCGCTGTTTAGAATGCCCACCAGATCTCTATGGACCAAACTGCATAAATCATTGTCTATGTATGCATCACGGTACATGTGATTCGAAGACTGGAAAATGTGCATGCAGCGAAGGATGGACAGGCCCAGCTTGTGAATTCAGTAAATTTACTTTTCCTCTTTAGGACTCCTTAACCAGTGTTAATTCCATGCTGAAATATTTTCATTTTTTACCTGATTTTCTTTCTAAAATGATATATTATTGTAGTTTGCCCGTTTGGTCAATATGGAAAGAACTGTGAAAAAAGCTGTGATTGCCTCAATGGAGCAAGTTGCAACCGAACAGATGGCGTATGCCAATGCTTACCAGGGTGGATTGGTAAAAGGTATCTCATGTTTCGTAGCTACAGTAGATATTGTTCTATCTAATTCCTTAAATTTTTTTATACTCGTCAATTAAATTCTATATTCAATTCACTGAGACACATATTTTTAAATATAAAATCTAAGGTAAACTTTTTCTATTCTTATCCTTTGGCTCCATAACATATCTTATTTTGTGATTTTATGATTGTGGCCTATTTTTTTTCCCCCGTTAATGATTTTTGAGTTCTGAAAAAATTTATTTTTAATTTATATGATTCCTGTTAAAGGTGTGAGCAACCGTGCCCTCATGGCCAATTTGGCGAACGCTGTGAGGAAGTATGTCAGTGCGAAAATGGTGCCACATGCGACTCTATAAGCGGTCATTGTCACTGTGCCTCAGGTTGGAGAGGACGAAAATGTAATCGACGTAAGTTTTTAGTTCGAATAAAATTGCTTTTTAGACCTGCTTGGCTAAAATCGCCAATTACCTAATTCTATGCCATTTTTATATTTTGTTATAATTTTTGGCGGATTTCTGGTATGTCATTCATAATAAATTTTTATGGATTTTTCCTCTTTTACCAGTCTTATACCAGTTTAACCAGTCTTTAGTTTAACCAGTATTTATTTTTTTGGAGATCTGTAACGATTTGTATTACATTTATTCGTCGCCTAAGCCAAGTAATTATAGAAGCTGAAATTTTGAGTGAACCAACCATCATACTTATACTGAACTTTTTTTTCAGCTTGTTTGAAAGGCTATTATGGCCAACATTGTGCTCAAACTTGTCGATGCCAAAATCTGAAGCCATGCGATCATATAACTGGACGCTGTCAATGTCCACAAGGTTATACTGGTCATTCATGCACGCAGCTTTGCCCTCCCGGATCGTTTGGAGAAGGTTGTTTGCATAAGTGTGATTGTGGTCCAAATACTGAATGTGACCCAATCACTGGAAAATGTTTCTGCAAATCTGGATATACAGGCAAAGAATGTAGCGAAGGTTTGATTGTCGAGAATTCCACATCACTTATAGAAATGCGATATGGAAACACAGTTTCTATTTTAAAAAGTCGACAACAACGAATCAAATCGAACAAGAAATAAGGAATAGATCTACAAATATCTCAGTTCAATAATTAATACTTTTAGGATGCGTCCAAGGACGTTTTGGAGCAAATTGTCAAGAAATATGTCAGTGTTTCAATGGTGGTATTTGTGATTCAGTTACTGGGTCATGCACTTGTCCACCAGGATTTGTGGGAACTAAATGTGATATCCCTTGTCCAAAAAATCGCTTTGGCGATCGGTTATCATTATTTTTAACTTGATATAATAATATGAACTCATTTTTTTTGTGAGATACTTGCTTTTTGGATTCTTTTTTTGTGATAAACAGAAGATGATCCAGAATTTCTTGAAAGAAATATCACTTTTTATTTTGATTAATCTTTATTTTTCACAAATTTTTTAATCGAATTTAAAATGGGCTGGGGAACCACCTGTCAAAAAAGTTCTAAATTGGTTATTGGTTATTATCATATTAATCGCCAGATATGGATCTATATAATTAATTCTTAATTAATTGTAATTCTAATGGATATTATAGATGCGAAAAGATTTGTGAATGTGAAAATGGTGGTACATGTGACCGTTTGACTGGTCAGTGCCGCTGCCATCCTGGATTTACTGGACTACAATGTCAGCAAGCTTGCCCAGAAAAACGCTATGGTCCTGGCTGCAGAGAGAAATGTCGGTGTGCGAACCAAGGACATTGTGACCCAGTAACTGGCCAGTGCAGGTAGAATTTCATCCAATTTTCTTGAAATTAATAGTTTCAGTTTCAGTTTTTTTTTGTTATTTAGTTTTATATTGGATTATAAATGGCAACGTGAATGTTAAAACTCGAGTGGTCAAGCTGGGTGTCATTATCACATACTATTATTTTGAATTGAAAAAATGTTAAATTCCTTATTCCTTTCATTTCATTTAATGTAACTCTATTTTTGTAAAATTAGAAGCTTATGGAACTAAGAAGCTTTTTTTTTGAAGATGTTCTTTGGGATATACCGGGCCAACTTGTGAACAAGCTTGTCCAAACGGGAAATACGGTATGAACTGTACATTGGATTGTGAATGTCATGGCGATGCAAGGTGCGATCCCGTTCAAGGTTGCTGTGATTGCCCAGCAGGAAGATACGGAACTCGTTGCCAATATAGTCAGTTTCTTATCCTAGTTATATGCGGTAGTATCGCGAATCGCGAATCATATAGAATCGTCCATATGGAATGGAAAAATAAAAAATGTTCCTTTATTTGAAAAGTTTTGATAACTGATTTAAAACCACTTTTTATCTCCACTCTTAAAACACTGTCATTTTTTTTTAGCATGCCCAAGCGGTTTCTACGGCTGGTATTGCAGCCAAAGCTGTAACTGCAAAAATGGAGCCACGTGTGACCCAGGCGATGGTCAATGTCTTTGTTCACCTGGGTATTTCGGCGATCAGGTAAACTATTTTTGCATTTTATAAAAATTAAATTAAGCTGGTGGTTTAGTAGCAAAATTGTTGGTATCGAGAATAGCTCTGATGCGATTCTGGCCAATTTCATCAGATGGCAAAGTTGCCGAAAGGCGAAAACAGAAGAGATTTGGCTCAATGGGTTTTCACTCTCACTTCACAACACGACGACAATACTGGAGTTTCACTCCTGGCAAGAATGAAAATCTGGATAATGCTGGTGATTCACTCGTCTTGTTATCAAATGATTTCATGGCAGAGTCTGATAAGCCAATGGAGTGAGCCTAACCAGCTATAGTTTGCGCTTTCAGAAAAATGCGTAATTATATTTTTCATAAAAACCTATGAAAAAAACACTTTTTTCAATTTTTTGGAAAACGATTAATTCAAATTTTTACAAATTAATTGTTAATTCAGTGCGAACAAACATGTATGAACTATACCTATGGTCCGCATTGTCAACTAAACTGTGATTGTGGCATATATCCATGTGATCCCAAAACTGGTCAATGCGATTGTCCAATGGGTCAGTATGGGGCGCATTGCAGACAAGGCGATTTAATTTTTAATTTACTTATTTGATTTTCGATCATTTCGCTTTCTAAATTATTTTTTTAAAAATTTTTAAATTTTTTGTAATAGAATTAGGTTTGGATTTAATGAAGTATGAATATTTGGCAAATAATTATTATGGAAAAAATAGTGCGTGTAATAGTTATTTTACGTGTATTAGAAACTTGTTCTTTCTCATCTCAATATTTCTGGCTTGGCTAGTTCCAGATAATATATGTGGAACCTGTGGAACCAGTATAACTCGGATTTCATTTTTAATAGCACATCTAAGGGGATGATGAAAGGGTGTTGAGTGAAAGAAATATGATGATTAGCTTGTAGTTTGCCAAAGTGGAGTATTGAGAAATTGGTTATAATTTTTTCACAAATTTGAATAGTTTTGAACGAAAAGTTTTGAAAAGCTTTATTTTTTTCATCAGTAGTTTTATCAACATTTGATTTAAGTTTGTAGATCTGGAAGATATGGAAAAAACTGCAAAGAGCGATGTGAATGCTACAATGGAGCAAGCTGTGACCGGGTAACTGGGAAATGTTATTGTGCCCCGGGATATCTTGGATCAACATGTCAACAGGAACAGCTAGGTTCTCAACCCAAATTTAAATTTAAAAAACAGCCTATCTACCATAAAATCGTTGTAAATTGCCAACATCCCCATACCATGATTTAACTCATTTGATCAATAACTTTAACTCTCCTTTTGCCTCAGTAAAATTCCTACAGATCATTGAAATTTTTAAATTTTAGAAATAAGTAATGAATGGTAAAAAGAGAAAGATTTGTTTCGGAATGAAATATTTTTATGAGTGGGTTTGCACTTTTTGAAGTGCAATACAATATTGATAGAAAAAAATATCCCAAAAATATTTATTCCAAATGTTTTTCTGCATTTTTCAAAAATAATCAATAAATGATAAAATAATCTACTGAAACACCCTTTTTGCATGTTGTGCTGCTGATATCTCTCATAGTAGTTAGCTAATATAGATAGGCAAATGGATATTTTCTATTAACTGCTCAAGCTTCCTTCATATTTTCGATATATAATTTTAGTTTGTGGCGTTCTTCTTATCTCTTCCTCTGACGTTTTATTCGTACAGTTTTCATTGAAAAAGAGCAATGCATGTGTGTATAAGTTTTTTTTTTTAAAGAGTTTTCACATTACTGGTTTAACTCCGCTGGCTTTTCGCACTGGACAAATATGCCAGGGGAGTCCCTTGGCCATAGAAATACAGGTAAGCAGCCAGCATGATCCGGATTTTTGGATAGCTTTACTCCTGCGAGGAATAAGATCGGTGCTCCGAATTATAGGCCATCATCATATAAGTATATATATATATATATATTTTTGTAGTTTATGTATGTATACTTCCATAATCAAGTAAGAAGTAGTATTATATTTTGGTTCGGCGCGCAATTTAAGTTCAAATTGTTTATATATGTATTAAATTTCTGCGTATAAACGTATAAACACTATCAATTATTCATCGCTTTTGAAATAATGAAATTTAAGATTGAAAAAATAAATCGGTAGGAAATTTTGTAAATTTAATTTTCAATATGAAGGTTTGGTTTTTGTTGCAGACACTGAAAGCGTGGCAAGGCGCGGTGATCTTCCGGAATTTTTATTTAGAAGGCGATGAATGCACATTTTACGAAGGCAATGAAATTCTGCATCCGAGTGCTAACGATACAATTTTCTGGTACAGTTCGAGATTTAGAAATAAATTCCGTTGATAGAATCGAAATAGGTCTCAGATTTTCGTCAGTGGATCTTTTGGTATAAACAAATTAGGTCTAATGGTTGATTATTTTGAAAATTATATGTACAAATTTTTTGGTTTTATTTTCGCCATTTTTCTGTTTTTATTTGTTGTTCTTCAATTGATTTAGATTGATCTGTTTGAAAAACGCTTTTTGTATAGCAATTAAGTTAGATTTTGGAGATCCGCCTGTCGGGTCGGCTAAATCTGCTGATTACAAGTGGTTTAACCTTCTATTGAAACTATTCCCATTTTTTCTTTCTTTCCCATATACTTATAATTTCCCACTGCTAGTTAGTTAAAAAAACCGTAACAAAGGAAGCCATTTTTGTTGTCCACTAAAATGTTGTGATATGTCTTGTTGATAAAAATACTGCCAATGCTATCCAAAATATTCTAATAAATATTCGCTGAAATCTATGATATTCCTAATAATTCCCATTGATAAACATCGGTGATCCGTTGATCATAGTTTTAATGAGCAAATTGCTATATTTATAAGACATAAATCCTAAAGGATTCAGTTGAAATTGGCAAAAATTTGGATAAAAATACGAATGGTGCTGACAGTTCGCTTAATAAAATAAATAAAATATGTTACAAGAAGATTATATTGTAAAAATTAGTTAATTAATGTAATGCTCAACAGATTTTTTTCGGAAGTAAATTGTATTTTTCACGATATTTTGTAAATTTCTTAATGCAAAACACACCCAAGCAATATCGTCAAGGAACCGAGATTTTGTGTCAGTAAAAATAGTCACGTTTGGAGGATTTGCTTATTTGGGTTTGTAGTGAAAGGCAAAAATATCCTGGTTATTGTTTATGTGATAAAGTTCTCTTGACCTCTCTTCTCTTTTAAGGGAGCTTTCAGAGATTAAATGGAGGCTGATGGGAAGTTAGCGCTCACCATTTCACCATTTCCGATTAGGCTCAGTCCGCTTTATTTGCCATAATGATAATTTGATAACTACTTGGCTATCTTCCATCCCCGTTTTCTGAAAAATTTAATGCGCAAAATTAGCGTTTCGCACATTCGCTTAATTTCTCGAAAAACATTGTATGAAATTTTGAAATCCAGTAATATTGGTTGTAATATTACTGGGTTTCAAAATTTCGCACTAAATGGAAGAGACTGAATATATTATCCATACGCAATTTTCCATTTGATGTAGCCTCAGTCTCAAAGCTCAATAAGCCTCTTCTCTTATATTTCCTAGCAGTAGCGGTCACTTCCCATTTGGCTTGTTTTGACCACTAAGGATGAGAGAGATCCTCTTGTCAGAGGGTCACTTGTGGTTAGAAATATAGAATTCATAGATTCCCAGCGCACCATGTTGAGATTGCAGTTTTCTGCGGACTTCTTTTGATGAGTTAAATATACATGGGTGTTTACTGATGTTTTAGCGTCGAATGAATGGAATAACTTGAAATAAGTTAAAAATAAAGATATTATATTTTTATAAAGACATTATATTTTTCATAATTTTTAATAATTTCATAATTTTTAAATAAAGGGCTATATTTAATAAATAAATTATGAAAAACAAACACTGATAAGGCGAAAAAAGCAAAGATGAGATGATAAGGAATTCAGTCATTCGATTGTCGAAGGTCTGCAAAAGTAGAGTTCCATTCAGATGAATGTTTTCGTTTTCTCCACTATTTATTGATTTTCATTTGCACATGCCTCTAAGTCAAAAGCAGGATCGAATGGTATAGAGCGTATTTTAACTAAAGTACGCTCGAATGATGGACGTACTACCTAAATTATCAGTCGAACTATTATAGGCTCGATTCCTGTTTCTTGAAATTTGTATTGGAAACAAGTTTGGCTGGTACTATGGACACACATATTCCCATGTTTCTATAACGAGACCCCATCACAATATCGGTGGAAGCAGCCAAAGCAAAATTGTGAGCCAGCCAGTGATTCTTAAAGATATTCGTGATACCATTAATCTTTAATGTTCTGAAATTATAGCTGTATTCTCAAGATAGCGGGAAGTACTATATGTTTTCTTCGGATGGAAAAGAATGAGAAGATTCCACGTAAATTAATGTGACTACTGATGCCCATGGGAGGCGGCCATGCCATATTTTATGGCATACCTCTTTACCCTGGCTGTTCATCTTTCAGCAGTCCTGAATAATCACGGATTTCTCGGTTCAAAATTCTGTGTTATTCATAGCTGACAACCACGATTTGCCTACGATCAGGTTACAAATGTTGGCCTTACGTGAGAATATGATGGTGGCACACAATCGATTCGCATTTCGACGAATACTTTGAAAAATTCCCTCTACCATCGGCGTATTGTCATCACTTGCCACCTGGTGTACCTCAACCAGGTTAATCGATTAATCGGCTGATTCACTTTTCATTTTTTGTTGGTTCGAGTAATGTTTAACGAATTTATTCTTATTCTACTATTCATTGCAGATTCATTTGTTATTTATTTGTAGTTATTTGATTATTGATTTTAACAAATTTTATTTTCGACTATAATAATAGTAATAATCAACTTTTATCGATTATCTTGCATGGGAAATAATCAAATTTATTGATTTTTTGTTAATTTTTATGTTTAATTTCTCTTTTTGTTTCAATTATATCGATTTTGTCTATTTCATCTATCACCTTTGTTGCTTATCATTTATCACTTATTACCTTTCTTATAATTCATCCTAATGTATAAAGTGCTCGAGTGATTGATTTACTGCCTAAATTACCAGTTTGAGGGATTCGACCTTTTCCTCTTCCAGGTAGAAATTAAATTATAATTAAAAAGTGCGTATGATGCTGGGGTTCACTTATATCTTCTGAAATTTGTAGGAGAAATTCAAAGGCCAAAAGTCCACAGGTTATTTAAAATTTGTATTTAAAATTCTCACTGATTTTTTAAAAGAGTCCTCAACATTACGGGTTAAACTCGCTCCACTCGCATTGGGCAATATGCCAGGGAGTCCCTTGGCGATAGAAATACAGCTAAGTCGCCACAATCACCTCTCATTCATTTCTATACTTCCTTTAATTAATATAAAGATTTTTAAAAAAATTAAGAATGTTGGAAAAATTAATAAATAATTAAATAAATAATTAATAAATCAAATTATTAAAAAATCTGTCAATTTCGTAATTTTTTAGCAGTTCAATTGACATATTATTTAAAAAATATTTCGTTATTTTATTTATTTATATGGCAGCAAACATGGCCAATAAGATTGGAGGAAAGGCATTTGTCTGCGTTCGACCATTCTTGCCTAAGGTACATCGCTCCACAGCCGCCTTCCTTCTCACGAATATCGTCTGCAGTAATATCATCTGCACGGGCGCTGGATAGGCGATGTTGTGATGCACGGGCTCAGATGCATGACCTGCGAGCTTATTTAATCAGCCATTTGTTTTGTTTTTCGGTGCTACTTTTAGTTATTTTTGGGGAGCCTCTCTGTTGGGACTGAATTGTTGCGGTGATTTTCTGGTTTTTTTCTTGTTTATGAAAACAAGTCCACAAGTCGGTGGATTTTTGGTGAATTATTGGTGAATTATCGCTGATAGAGTCGCCACTTCTGATGAGACATTTGTCGCATGTTTGTTAAGACTGATAATAAAATATCTTATATCCTTTAAGGTTGATAGCTGTCGTGGTAAGGCTTTTTACATCCGTTAGGACTGGTAATTGGGTCGCCATGGTTTCATTTCCTTTGTTGCAGTGATGCCTTTATATTCCTTCTACCAGTTTAATATTTAATACTAGAACAACCACCGGAGAATAATCGAACAAATCTTCCTTAGAGATAAGGATGATTGAGTGGTCGCGTCGAATAGCAGAGATTCCATCTACCGAGAAGAGTAAAATCTGCCATTAAAAAATCTGGGTAGTGCTGGCGACACACCCGTACTCTATCTTCAAGTGATTCCCTGGTAAAAATTTCTAACCATACTAGCAAAGCTAGTCTGACCAGAAATGGGCTGCTAATTTTTCTGAACCTAAAAATCCGGTGAATCTCGCTCAAAACGAGTATAATTCCCGTCACAAAACCATTTTGCGGGAAAATTTATGCTGCACTCGTGATAAAATGAAATACATTTGTCTACTAGCAGAGTTGGAATTAAAATAAATATTGATATTTTATAACTTTATAGAGTTCAACTTTATCACTTTCTTTCAGTTTCTATCTTTGATTATTTGGACATATCCAAATGAATGAAATGGGTTTCGAATTCGTTGATAATCGATGTTTGCGACAAATTTGCCAAAATACCTTCAATAAAAACAATTTAGTACGTTTTATTAATGGTCAATCGTTTTTAAAATATCTTTTTTCCTTTTTTTTAGGTTAAAATTTATTATAGTTCTGTGAAGCAGATGTAATATATAGGAAGAATTCATGGTGGAAATATATATTGCCAGTAAGTGAAGCAAAATGTGATTCCGCTGGCAGAATGTTCATTTCCCACGCAAATCGCGATTCGCTGGAGAAGATTTTTTACAAATATGCTAGTAAGGAAAAAGAAGGGACTACGTATATGACTCCGAACGATTTCATTCGAAAGTGTTCTTTTTTTTTGATTTTTATTGTTTGCTTGATTGTCGTCTTTATTCCATGATTCTCCATTTATTCGAACTTCACTATTTTCTACCCATTTACTGGAACTTAATGGTGCATCTTTTATAGTAACTCGAGAAATTCTCACATCCTCTTAGCTTAGGTAAAAATTAAGTAAGATAGCAGTGATACTTAGGGATTAACGCCACCATTTTCTACCGACTACGTATCATAAACACACGGATGCAAACCTACCTTAAATACTACCACATCTTGTCGCATTACTGTGTGCAGTTGCTTGATTAGCTGGCAGATCTTTAGTCTGTTTTATATATTTTTTCGTTTTCGTTTGTTAATTTATTTTGAAAAACTTCAGAAATTTTTCATTATTTTTAGTTATCTCGGTTTATATCCTGAAGAAAATTACAATCGAGAAACAGTTGAACTTCTTGCAAAAGCAGCTGACACAAGTAAAGATGGTCTTATATCGTTTGATGAATTTCTCGAATTTGAATCCATTCTTAGCAGGTTTTTTGATTTTTTACCTATTAAATTAAAGAATTCAACTTCTGTTTTTTATAATTTTTTTAGAACTTTTCACTAAATTATATTCTTACAAGGCAGAACGACTTTCTTTTAGTTTTTCGATGTTATTCTCAGATCCATATCATTTCATATCATTTTTTGAAACTATAGGTCTTCATAGACTTGAGAATTTTGGTTCAATTCAATTTCGAATCAAAGAATTTTTACCGTATTATTCCAGTCCTGACGCACTCTACCGGACGGCTTTTGAAATCTTCAACCAGGATGCGTCAAAAGCCGTTAGCTGTGATGAATTTGAACGAGTTATTCGACATACAAGACCGGAAACAAAAATGGATTTTGATTTCAATTCCCCTTTTATGAAACGATATTTCGGACCGTAAAATATTTGTTATTTAAAAATTAAATTTCTTACAAATTTCATTTATTATATTCTTGATGGGTAGTCAGCAGATTTAAAGTTAATTAGCATTTTGGCAGAACATATGTATTTACGGCATGGATTTTGTTCTTCCCATTGAGTTGGTTGATCCAAGATTTGTCTTTCCTTGTCTCCTTATCGTGATTGCCATGTGACTGTGGGATAATTTTATACTTACTGCTGGAATCGTGAAATTGTCTTGACTCGAAAGGGAAAAGTTTTATTTACCGTTGAATTATACCAACAATATATTACAATAGTATAATAATTGGGTCAATGGGACGAGTAGGGTTAAGGAAGAAGGAGAATGTCGCGTAGAATTCTGGTTTGAGAGAAAAAATTGGACAAAATTCCCATTCGTCGTTTTTTTAGGCATAATATTTTGCAAATTACATAAAATTGTACAGAAATTATTATTTTTTCTTTCAAGAGTATCAAAAATTCGTAAACAAATAGTTTTTTTTTTTTTTTTAATTATAGCAACAGATACGAATTTTATATGATTTGAATATTAAGTAGCTCATTATTGTGAAGAATCCTTTGTTAAAATAGTATTTTTTTATAAATTCTTTCCATTTTTTTCGACAGCTGATATTTATGAACGTTATGTGTTCTGATGATAGGTCCACTTCACTACTTTTCCCTCTCGTTCCTATCACTTCTATACCAGTGCTGATTTCTAATTCTCGTTTACTACCACTACCCCCACATCTGGTTGAGTAGTCAGCAGTTATCTGTCTGGATTGAGAAATCCCACAGGACCTTCGCCTTATTATTCACGATTTTTTGAGGAATTTCCCATCTAATCTTATTTCCTTTAAAAATTGGATTCAGTATTAAAAAAATTTCAGTATTAAAAAAATTTTAAAATAAAAAATAAAATAAAAAAATAAAAATTAAAATTTTTGAATTAAAGAATTTCGCTGTGAGCTGAAATCTTTTGGCGTTCTTGGCCAATAACTTTTTGTATTTAAATATTAATGAAAATTGAATTGTTGAATTTTCCAAATCTGTCGGGCTATATTATTTAGGTGGGGTTTTTATGCGAAATAATGAAAATAAAATTACGAAAAAATGAAATTAATATCAAAAGGCGACTTTATTGCAGGCAACGAAAACGATTGATTAATTATCGGGATTTTTGTCAACTGCTTGATGATTTCTATGATGAACAAGCTTTGCAAGCATTTAAAAAGTGCGTCAGAAAATGGTTGAAAATAGTTTCCAAGTTTTATAATTTACAGGGGGATGAATATAAGAAGGGTTAAATTGAAACGATTTTTAAGTTATTTTATGAGCTTCTAAAAACATCTATTTATAAATAAATTCAACAAGTAACTCTTCAGAGCGAAAAAATTATTAAATGCGGAATTATTTATTATTATAGATATGATGAGAAAGAAGCGGGTTCGATATCATTGTCTGACTTCCAAGGAATTATGAAATCGGTTAAACGACATTTACTTACTTCTTTCGTTGAACAACATTTAATGCATGTGTCCCGGAATCTTTTGCAAAATGATTGGGTAATATTTTTCAAAATTCTTTTTCAAAATTTTTTGAACTATGCAGAGCTTATTGATTTTAAATTTGATAAATTGTTCTCATCGAGTAAGCAAGAAAAAAATTTCTTACGAGAGAATTTCACTGAGGGCATTGCGTTTTCAAAAATTCTTAAATTTTTCATTAACATATTTTAATCTTTATATCTGTTAAGTAAAATATTTTTTAAGGTATCTTTTGCACATTATAAAGCCTTCAATGGTTTGTTATCGAAGATGGACTTGATTAAACATGTTTATTTAAGTATCGCTCGCGGTAATTTGCAAATGGAAGTATCAAGGGAAGATTTCCTTAGTATGGCTCAGAGTTATACCCACGTCACGCCTTATGAAGTAAGCTTAGGAAAAGGAAGTTTTTAAAATCATTTTCCAAATCAAGCCTTTCCGAATAAAAGATGTTAGGAAATTAAATTGAATTTATAATGCTTTTAATTGTAAATTTTCGAAAACTTTGATTATAAAATTGTTAAATTGCCATTTGCGTGATACACTTTTTTTTGCAGAAATACGATTTGTATTTTATATTTTAGGTAGAAATTTTATTTAATTTTGCTGAAGCTGCGCATCCTGGAAATGGAAATTTATCACTGGCAGATATAGAAAAAATTGATCCGAAACGTGTTAAGCGAGTCTCATATATTACTAGATTAGCAAATTTAAAAGCAGTCGATAAGAAAGAAGATCGAGGCGTTGGAACCGCGGTTAGATTTTTTTTTGGTATTGCAATTTTACAATAGCGCTTAAAATGTTTTTTCTTCTTATCAATTTATATGGAAAGTCATTCAATTGACCGAAAAAAGCTAATTAATACATCAATTAATTATATTAATGATTTCTGGAATTCATTTCAATAATGAACCAAGCATTGCGAGAGGCCATGTACTGGCCAAAGAAAGAAATATTTTTAAGGGACAAATCAGAATGGTTAAATTATAGCAGACAATTTTGCAAAAATTTTTATCTGTCCGACAGACATTGATATAAAGTTATTTCTTCTGTTACACGTTCTGTCACGTTCTTCCCATTTATTTTGATATGCCGCTGTCTCTAATCCACCTTGAAATCCACCACGTATCCACCATGAAAATTATGATACAGCAAATTAAATATTGAAGTGATCATAAGGTACCAAATAATAGTATATAGGTCATCCAATATCATTTTAAGTAAGCTATAGAAGTTGCACAGATAGCATTATAATTTTTCCACTATTTAATAGGGGGAATAAAAAAATTTTATGTTTTCTGATTAGAATAGTTTTATAAACTTTAATAATCCATCAGATCTTATTTGAATTTTTTTAAGCCAAAGTTAAAAAATTTATTACAATCTGGATTGATATAACCATTTAAAATTTTGTACATGAAATCTTTACTTTTTTCTAACACTTGTAGTGAGTCCAGCTAATGCAATTTGCAATTTTAATAATGCAATTTTAATTTTTTCTCGTAATTAATTGGCTTGTTTCTTTTTTTCTCTTGTCTTTCCTACTTTCCTATTAATTTCGCACAGGCAATCGCGAGGTAATTTCTGCGATTTAATAAATCTAGGGAAGTAATAAACTGTTATATTCCGGGAGAACAAGGTTTTATGCATTTTGATCAAAGACTTAGATTTATTTCTAAAGGATCTAAAATAAAAGATTCCAGAAAAAAGTTATGGCAGTGATGAATGATTTATATTATAGATTTAATTATAGATTGATTGATTAATATAAATTGATTTCAGAAACCGTGAAAAACTGGATTGAAAATAATTTTTCTTGTCTTCTTCTTTTTCTTTTAATAGCTCTCACCATTACTGGTCAGGTTGGCTCCAACGGCTACAAGGGTAAGATTCCAAGCTTCCAAGCGGCATCGTTTGATGCCATCGTCGACAGTAATGGAAGCCATTCCTTTTTTCCATCGTCTAAGTCATATATTGCTGGTACACCTATGCGTTCAAAATCTTTTCTCACCGTATCAGTCCAGGTCTTGATTGGCCCACCTCACTTTTAACGCCAACCATCACACGGTTTAGCAAACAACGAAATATGCGTCAACTCCTGTGGTGGACGACGGATAATGTGCTCTGATCAGCGAAGGCGGCGCTATTGATAACATAATTTATGCAGGTGGTATTTGAATGAAGATGGATGCAATCATGTGATATCCGCTCGACGGATCCGTAATATGTACCTTAAATAAGAGTGGTCAAAGACAGATAACTTCTTGATATCCTCCACTCTCATTGGCTATGTCTCAGAACCATATAGCAAGATCGAACGGATCATGGCTATATAGATGCGGACTTTCGTTTTTATGGTGATTTCACGACTACTCCATAAAGGTTTCGTCAACCAGAAGAACGCATTTCTAGCTCCCTGATCCAAGTTGTAATATCATCATATCATCTTTTGCCTGTCCATTTTGTATTAGAGTGGACCCAAAGTATTTGAAATCGGGCACTTCCTCAACCGGCAATGAATTTACAAAAAGAGGCATTTTATCAATTTCTTGCACATAATACGAAAAGTCTTTCGTTTTATTTACATTGATCTGAGTTCGATTCTTGCTGACACGTTATTTAGTATTACATTTCGTTATAACTGTCAGCAAAAAGGACTACATCATTAGCTTATTCAAGATCTGTGATCCATGCTCTGGACTAATCCGGACATCTCTTGAATGTGGATAAGCAGTGTCCATTATCCAGTCTATCGCATAGTTGAATACTGTGGGGGAAAGCAGCCCTGACGGATACTTGTTCTTATTTCGAAGGGATCTGTCAGCTCCCCATATACACACATCTCCGACATGCCTTTGTGAGTCTAATGATTTTCTGTGGAACACCGTAACGTTCCATCATCCTCCAAAGCGCCACTCTATCAATTGAATCATAGGCAGCCGCAAAGTCAATAAAACACGTGACAGTGGGTTGCAAATATTTGAAGCGATGTTCCAACACCCTTCTTAGCGTGAATATCTGGTTAGTACAACCGCGCTCTGAAATCAGCTTGATTACGGCGCACCCTACTGTCTCGTACTTCCATAAGTCTGTTGAGTAGCAGGGAAACAAAAATTTTTGCTGAGACGTTTTGCTGAGTAGGCTGATTCCTCGATAATTGTCGCAGTATATCCTATCATCTTTCTTGAGAATTGGGAGCAGAACTGCTTTTCTCCAATCATCTGGAAATATTTCTTTTTTCCATACTAAAGAGTAAATTTGTTGAATGTGCGTTATGAAGGACGATGGGCAGTATTTGAAAAGCTCAGCCCGAAGACCATTTTCTTTTGGAGTTTTATTGGCCTTAAGCTCATGGATAACTGAAATTATTTCTTCTTCTGTTGGAGGCTCGCAATTGCGAACGTATGCTTCGTATATATCAGGGGCAACAGATGGCGCTTCATGGTTAAATTTGGCCTCAAAGAATTCTTTCCATCTTATGAGGCGATCCATAATACTTTTAATTAGTACGCCATTACTGTCTCTTATCATTTCACTTTCCCGAGTCATAGTTGCTTTATGAAGAAGGAGAATAGTTTCCTATTGTCACCTAATCGAGCCGCCTCCTCCATTCTTGAGGCCATGTCGCTCCAATAGTGATTTCTTGCTGCTTTCGTTGCAAATCATCGAAGCACCCGGTGGTCAGGATCACCTGATATTCGTGCTTTGGCAGCTTTTTCAGACAATTTGACAGTTGCTTCCGATACCCAACTAATGTACTCCCTATTAGTGTGGTCTAGCGTGGAAATGCCTGATTTTCGGAGACATTCCTTTAGTTTGGACCAGTATTCATTTGCTGTTCCGGAAAAATCATTGATATTTGTATCATTGAGATGCTTCAATAATTCGGTTTAAAATGCGCTCACTGTTCCCGAATTTTTTAGTTTGAGATAGTTGTAGGATCTTGGGATATGCTGTTTTCTGCGACTTGTCAATTTTATGCGGATCTTGGTTCAAACTATAACATGGTTAGGTCCATGAAGATTGCCCTGTTCAACTCCGCGATAGGAACGACTATCTAGTACGGAACTCTTGCAACGGCGACTAAGATATAATAATATAATATATAAGATATAAAAATATATAAGATATTTATATTTTCTTGTCTATTTCGTATTATTTCTTATTTCCATTATCCCTTATTCCTTTGCTTCTCTTATTTTGATGCAATGATGGGCGTAAGCTTAAGCTAAGATTTTGGACCTTTGCACAAAATATAATTATATAATTATATTTTCATAAATATTATTAATTAATGAATAAATTCACATTAATGTTTATAAATTTAAAAAAATTACTAAAATTAAATTACTAAAAAAAATTCCTTTTATAAGCTACAAGTTTTTCATTTCATCAGATGTTAGAAAGTGTTTACCGTTTTACAATCGGTTCGTTGGCTGGTGCATGCGGTGCAACGGCAGTATATCCGATCGACTTAGTGAAGACTCGGATGCAGAACCAGCGGTCAAGTGAATTTGTTGGTGAACTTGCATACAAAAATAGCTTGGACTGTTTCAAAAAAGTTGTAAAATATGAGGGTATTAAATCTCTTATGGAAAATTTTCAATTTTTTTTCGTTAATGTTCTTTCTTTTCTGGATTTTTTGTTGTAATGATATAATCATAATGATTTCAGTAAATTAAAAATTTGCAGGTGTGCTAGGCTTATATAGAGGATTACTTCCTCAAATCGTTGGTGTTGCTCCAGAAAAAGCCATTAAATTAACAGTAAATGACTTTGTTCGTGATAAATTTACGATTAATGGGCAAGTTCCACTTTGGGCTGAAGTCCTGGCTGGAGGATGTGGTGGAGCAAGTCAAGTTATATTTACGAATCCATTGGAAATTGTTAAAATAAGATTGCAGGTTGCCGGTGAAGTACATGGCGCCACTAGGGTAAGGCTTTACTTCGTTGATCAAATTGTTTTATAGCACAATTTTTTATTGTTTTTTGGTTTTAAGGTGATAAAAATGAATTTGAATCTACGGACTATTCTTAGTTGAAATCTAACTTTTATGGAATGGGGTAGGTCAAATATATAATATATATCAACTTGCATTGTTCTGTGAATATTTATAGATAGGAGTCGTGAGTGTCTTGAAGGAATTGGGATTTTTTGGCTTGTACAAGGGAGCTAAAGCTTGCTTTCTTCGTGATATACCATTTTCAGCTATTTATTTTCCAGTTTATGCGCATGCGAAATCAGCAACAGCAGATGAAAATGTTGGTTCCGAATTACCTTTCGTTATTATACATCGTTGATTTTATATGTCCATATATCACGCCCATGATTAGTTTTCTTTTTTGCGACTCCTAAAATCAACCACTAATAAGCTCATCTAATCCTGTTTATTCTTAAAACTTTCTTTTAAACGGATATTTTTTTTAAAACTTTTGCTCAGTTTTCCAATTTTTTATTTCACATTTTAGGGCCATAATGGACCATCATCATTATTTTCTTCTGCATTTTTCGCTGGAATACCTGCAGCTGCTTTGGTTACTCCAGCTGATGTTATCAAAACTCGTCTACAAGTTGCAGCTCGTGCTGGACAAACAATATATGATGGTCTTTTTGATTGCTTTAAGAAGGTTTTGTATAGTTGTATCTTTTCTGTAAACCTGGAGCTTATTTTCTTGGAAAGTTCGTCGTTTTACCTTTTTCTGAGAAATATTTTCTAAGAATTCTGAAATATGAGGTATTATCTTTTCTTTTGTTATCAGTTCTTATTATCTTAATAAAATTAAAATTCGTTTGCGAAGAATTTCTTATCAGATTTGATTTTAGATAATGCAAGAGGAAGGACCAACAGCATTCTGGAAAGGTACAGCTGCTCGAGTTTGTCGATCCAGCCCACAATTTGCATTTACATTACTTACTTATGAATTACTTCAACGTATTTTCTACATTGATTTTGGTGGAATTCGGCCTGCTGGTTCAGAGGTCTATTTTTTTATTTTTCTCTTGTAAAAAAATTATGGACACAAAAAGAAATTCTTAGCCTTGTTAAATTTAGGTTCCTGTTAATTTTCCTTCTTATGATGTTTCAATGAATCCTGACCACATTGGTGGTTATAAACATGCTGCAGCTACTTTTAGTGGTGTTGAACATAAATTTGGATTATTTATGCCTCGATTTGAATCCAGGAGTTAGCGATTTTATGGAATATTTTCTGTTTTATTCTTTGTTTGCCTTTGTTTTGCGCAGATTTGTTATTGTTAGCTTTATGTCGATCTTCGTTAGTCGATCTTAATTGCCGATATCTAATTAATAAGATGTGCTCTATTAAATCTAGTTTAGAGTTTTTTTTACTATTATCATCATTTATGATTTAGATAAGTTTTTGCATTTTTTATTCAGAAATCTGGTTTTTTGTGTGTAGTGCATAAATCAGCGGATCGAATGTCGTATTTTTCACTTTAGGATTTAAATTCAGGGGACTGACTAAAATCTATGAAGCAAAAAATAAAAATTTTTTTTCAGATTTGCCCAGTTAACTGAATATATTTAGAAAATATGTACTAGGTCCAAATATTTTTTTTTATAATATTTTCATAATAATACTTTCATTTAGGTAAAAGTATTCCATTTTATTGTCCTTATTTTTCCCTTTTAAAATTATCACTTAATCAAGAGGCAAAATGGTGCGATTATACAATATCCTTTTTTTTGATGTAATTCATCTTTTTTCATTGTTAATTAATTATCACTGTTTTATTTCCACTTGCATTGCCTGGTTTCATTGCCTTATGAATAATTAGATTAATATTCAGCCTGTGGATTTTTTCTACGCAATAATTATAAAGCCAAGGGAAAAATGACTTGCGAAATGGGCATACTGAAAGTCTCATTTACCAAATGAATTTTCTTTAGAATTTTTTTAATATTGAAGATTTGTTTTATTCATATTGTTTGCATAGTTTTTTCTTAGTTTGAAATTTCTAATTTTTCCCAAAAAATTATTTATAAACAATAAAAAAGAAAAAATGAAACTATTGCTAATGAAACTATTGAAACTATTGATGGTATCGCATTTACGCTCTTCTTCTATTTTTTCGTGTTGAAAATGCGCACACTCATTCTAGTTTGGCTAAGTCTGCTTTTCGATAGAATGAGTTCTTTTTCGCAATCTTCAGAAATAAAGACGGATCGTAGCACCAGATTCCACTTTTTGTCGCTGCTTATTCATCAAAGGATAGGTTCAGATCCACCATGTCCGAGAAAAGTATATGCATGGTTTAACTATTCAAGTACGATTTATTTGCTTAAAATTTAATAATAATTTTTAAGAGGAAATTTTTTAAATAAATTTAATTATTTAATTGTACTGGGAACGTCACTAATGAGATTTTTAATAAATCAGCCAATGAGGTTATCATAGAAGAAATTTGCTGCGGAGTTAAATAATTATTTGTTTGATCAAATCATCTCTGAATGCATTGCATTAACAAGCAGATTTTCGCTTCATTGAAAAGAAAAAGGCCTATTTTATTGGATCTTACCATTTAACGAAAATGTCGAACGTGATAAACGAGAAAATCCTTTCTTTCTGCAACACCCACTTATTGTTAAGATGAGATCGTTTGGTCGGAGAGAGAGTTCATTTACTGATAGAGATGTAGAAAGTTCCATGAGCACCACTCAAATTTCATTTTTGATGACAAGTCTAGAGGCTTTAACTAAACCATGCTTAAACGATGGTCTAAATAGCTTGATCATAATGCTGCCAAATCAATAATTAATTAATTTTACGTTTTGAAATCCAAATAAATTGCGATGATGATGAATTAATTATTTATGTAAACAGAAGAGTTAAGAAGAAATATATTGAAAATATTGGAAAGCATTGAGGTCACAACAAGTTTGCATATTTTATCATAACAGCATCAAAATTAATCACAAAATTTGAGCCAAAAATAAACAGTGCTTGATCGCATTCCCTTTCTTCAAATTTCCAATTTTCCAAGAATTTTACTATTTTTAGAATCAAACATATTAGGAATTTAAAGATTTTATAGAGACCATAATAGTCCGGAAATTAATGGATTGAAGCAGTTCTTAAATACAAGTCAAGATTTTCCTTTTCTTACATGCTGAGAAGTTCAATAATCAAGCATTATTCCGAATCGCGATACAAATAAGAAATACCCGCTTTTCTGAAAAATTTCTCATCAAACGTTATTTTAATGATAATAGAAGATTGTAACAGGCTTGTCGTAAACATTCATTAAACAAAGCCAACTGCGATACCCTTTTTTCCGAAAATTTCGCTTAAGTTTGACAGTCATGGTTTGATAACAACTTTTACGGATTAGAATAAAGTTGTAGATTCGACAAGGTATCGAAATGTGGCATGATTCTTCCTGATGGGGCCGATATTCCAGGAGGCCAAACCTGCAAACTTCTAGTCGTTTCGACGAAAAAAATCGCAAAAAATATTATAATAAAGAAAATATGAAATTTTTCTCGTTTCTAAGCCACATACTTTAGCATGTTTCATTGGACAAATTTGTGACACAATGTCACTTCCATTACGATCAACATCATCATTATCACAGTCCACATCATCATCTTCTGCAGTCAATGCGGACGGATCCAGTTTGATAGCGACAATAATAATGCCTACAATATTATAGCCAAAATAATAAAACTGACTGCGGAATTAATAAATTACCAAAAAAAATTAGTTTTAAAGTACATTCATTCATTTTTTTAATATTTCGTCATTTCTGTTCAAGATTACTCTGCTGACTTGTCAAATCAAACAAATAGAATCATTTGGTGATAGATACATGTGGGTCGCCAGAATTGATTCTTGAAAAGCAGATCGTGCCAGCAGTAGAACTCCAGCGCTAGGAAGTAAGAGAAGCAATCCACCGAACCATTCTACTCCTTAAAACTGATATTTTAGGACCTAATTTTAAATCTGACCCAGCAAACCTTTTTATGAAGACTAGTTTATAATAAATGAATGACCAATTAGAAGGCAGCTGGAGCTCGAGAAACGGCCAATCAATTGACCCGAGATAAGGTTGAAAGTCTCGTTTAGATCAATTTTCCCAATGGAGAGAGTATTTAGAAATTAAACTTGACTACGACTGTCCAACATCACTGATGTAATTAGAATATATTTAGAGACATACGGTTCCATTTGCCAACCACCAACGGAGCATAAGATATTCTCTATAATTCACAAAACTTAAGGCCAATAAAATCCCTGAAGATGATCTTTAAAGTGTTCCAAAGTCTTTCACAATAAATCTACAAAAATTATATAAATTGATTTAGGATAAAAAAGAAATGCCATGTATCTGGAGCATTTTCCGTTCCCAAATTTCCAGAAAAGGTGGTATGAACGCATTACAGAGAAACTGTTGAAGAATCTTGCTAGATATTTTTTGGGAAGTTTTTACCTTTCTTCTGCTGGATAGATTGATGGTAAATAGTAGTAGCAGTACGGGTCACAATTAAGCCAGACTTAGGTCAAACGTGGCTGCCTTGACCAAATTTTCAGGCTGAGAGGAATATTTGCAATAATGTTTTGAATGCCGACAACTTACACGATTTAACTCTGTTGATTCGATCAACAGGGCGCGCTCTGGAAAATCATGATGGTCAGATTTATCGAGATATTTTATTTTTACAGGTACAGATGATTGCGTGCAGGAAATTGATGCAACTTTTTGAAATACCAACATTGCCAACATCGCGTTCTCTCCCCTAAATTTGACAATAAGCCATCGTGGTCACCGTTTTTCGGCACTTAAGAGCTGTACAAATCAGTCCAGACCATAATAGAATATCACCAAAGTATGAACCTTAAATATTCTGGCCTTTTTCGTCAACAAGGGATAGAAGTGTACGAGAAATTGCAATAGACATAGATCGCAGTGAGAATTGACCTTCATATCAGTAAATAAGAAACTTTTCGCTTCGCCTTCTTTGCTGATAAGGTAGCAATTTATCAACCGTTGGAGCCGTTGCTTATATTAAATCCACTTTTAAATCCATCTTAGATTCACATGCCCTGTGGCCAAGTGAAAAAATTGAAAAATTTCCAGCTGGGATGGCTGCAACTATAAATACCTTCTTCCTTAAAGCGCGGCGAAATTATACTCAAAACAAAAGTTCCCATTTTCCTATCTGTGTGTTAGATTTGGTTAATGAAAGTACAATATAAAAAAGAACCTATCTGCCTTTGACCAGTCTCGCCTAAGGTATATTCTATCTGTTCGCTAAGAGGAGCTTCTATGATTGCATTCAACTTCACTTTGCATTAAGAATATCGTTAAACATTTGGCAATGTTCTTCGTTACTCACCACGGAAATCGACGCATATGTCTCTTGCTAAAACCTATAGTAAATGGTATCAAAAGCGAAGACCAAGTCCTGCACTAATACGATCAAGAGAAAAGAATGGTTTCTGTTTTTTTCAAAAGTGCTACTAAATCGCGAGGCTTGGAAACTCTACCCTGTGGAACAAGCCAAACCAACAAATGTGCGCAATGTAGAAAAAAGGCCAATTCACCTGTACAAAAATTAATACATGATGGAAAATCAAAGAATTTTCTAAATGCGTCGAAGAAAGATGCGCTTTACACTAACTTGTTACGAGCAGGCCGACACTGATGAAAGTAACTGTTAAGAGGATAGCAATATTAAAATTGATCGCATTGTTATCGCCTTGCCAAGTCCGCTGATCGGACATTAAAAGAATGCGTACCACTTCATCTACAAATATTTATCCTCATTACTGTAATTACAAATTATATTTCGAATTTTGGCAATATTTTTTCGATATTTATATCGATTTTTGATCATTTGAGATTTTTAAATTATTTTCATAAAGTATCCACGATTTAAATAACATTTCTGGCTGGCAACTTCGGCCAGTAGCGTAGTTCTCCCTTCGATTTAACATTTTAACAAATTTGAAGTTTTATTAAGGAATCGGTTAGTGATGGAAAGAATTGTTAGATCGCAAGATCACTCAGATTTTTTAATGGCATCTTCATGGTTTACTCCTGTCGAGGATAGAACTATTGTCTCGCAACAAGATAATCTGAGTCATACATTCGATTACCATGTTTCTTCTTCGAGATTTAAAATTTTAATTGACTTTCTATACATCTTTACTTTTCGAAAAAAATAACCATATCAGCTTTCCTTGTTGCAAAACATCCTATAAATATGGATAAAAAGTATATAGATAAGGGAACCTGAATTTTGATTTTCTTGGTCTCTTGTTTCTGCATAACTTGTTGATTTATATATTAAACAATAACAGATAAAAATAAATACTAGTACACAAAAAGTGAGTGCGAAACGCACCATAAGACGCATATAATTTCCTGCATACGATATTTTAATGCTATATTATTTTGTAATCTAAAATATGAAATCATTTAAATCTGTTGAAAAATATGCATCATGAAAATAGGGATATTTGCAGAATCTTTAAAAATATAATAAAGTGGATAAAGTGGTCATTTAAACGATTGACTCGATCAGTCAAGAAGAAAGAAAAGTTAATATTATATGTAAACGACAAGAATTTAGGTAAATAACTGTGAGAAACACTGAAATACTGATTAACAAGGAAAGGAATTTGAACAAATCCGTATTGCTCATTGAATAACTGCAAAACAATATTAAAATAAAGGAGATTGAAAAAAAAATTTATTAGTTAATTTATTAGTATTCAAGTTGCTATTTAAGATCATTTAAGCTTAAAACAAACATCTATATGGTATGAGCATCGTTTGATTCTACCTATGAATTTGCTCATTAATATCTAATATCAATAGCACAGACAAAGACTTTCAGCTCGTTCTTATAAGACAAGCAAAGTGAAATATAAATTCACCTTTTTAGACAAAATAATATTAGAGCTACAATTTATTGGCAAACAACCATTAAAAATTGCTCCAATTTTTGTCGAAAAAATTACCAGGCAACGAATTAAATAATTAAATATTGAATTAAATTAAATAAATGGAAATACTGGTAAGCAATTTCGTCGAATAAGTTTAATTTTCTTGAGAAGAAAAATGGCTGTAAATAAAGAAATTTATAAAAATTTGTCGAATTTATAAATTTGTAAGCAAAACCATCAAAATAATAAAATGAAAGCTAATTTTAAAACGCAAGTTTCATTGAACCAAGAATTTAAAATTCTCGCCGTTGATTGTGCAAAAACTAGTTTAAAAAAACTGGTTTTATACAACAAGTTCAATATTTGGTACACCGATAGTGGAAAATATCGATTATGATTATAAGCACCAACAAAAACGAATTTTTAATTAGTAATAAACAAAAAGCTTTGATTCTGCTTATTGTGGAAGGTAAATAATAAATTACTTCGAGTGTATTAAACACCACGGATTCCATTCTTGTCCCTTGAAATAAATAAACCTATCATTAAAAATAGTCCGAGTGATGCCTCTAAATTCAATTAGACTTCTATTTCCAAGTGATTCTTGCGACTTTTTTCTTCATTTAGCATAGTCAGAGGAGTTAGCCAAGCGATGGTATGTGCTATTAAGAAGAGGAATTCTACTTTTTCATCACTGGAAATAAGTTGAATACATAACTGATTAATCAAAAAATATTTAATACTTTAATATTTGCGATTAAAATGATGAAATTATACCTGTGTGAATTAAGCGAATAAACATTTCAAAATTTATGAATTTCAGACAGCGAGGAATATTTTTTTTACGAAAAAATTCTCTAAATTTTGAAAATGATACAAGAACCAAAAATAAAAAGCAAAAGCAAAACTGGTTGGTTTTTTGTTGTATCATGAGAAATGGAATTTTGTTTACTTGTTTATTTATCCTCATTTTACTTTATTTTGTGGTAATCAATTAATGAAACTAGCGAAAATTATTTAAAATTATTATATAAAAAAGGAAACGTCGTAGAAAAGAATAAATAATAGAAAATATAATTTATAAAAATTAAAACTATTAAAATATAATTTTTTGACAATTAGAATTAAAAAACCAAGAAATTTAGAAAAAGAAATTTAGAAATATTAAATAATTTCAATATTTTTTGAAGTTTCTTTATAAACTTACTTTCGATTTCGAAGTTACTGAAAAAAATTTGCTCATTGGTCTAACGAAAAGTCTTAAAGAAAATTAGAAGAGGAAATAAAGTAGAATTTTTCTATTTTATAAGCTTTTTAATATTCTGTTAATCGATATGGAATATAAAAAATAACACTCACTGATAGGCTGTAATGTACTGGCCTATCATTTTTTATTTAAAATTGAAAAAATGGCCTAAGGAAGAAAAAATATGGCAAAAGCCCATATGAAGATGTGATGAGTTGGTTAATAGTGGCTACTAGATTGGTTAATAGTGGTAGCACGATTTAAGGCCTCCTCTTCTAAGCAATTTGACAAATAATAGGCGGCTGGATAATCCATAAAATTCCTGAAAACTTCGTTTTTCTTTCGCAATCTTTTGTTCAAGGTTTAAATTAAAATTTGAAAAAAAACATGAATGATTTGTATATTCTTAAGAATAACCGAGTGATTGTCTCGAAAATTATGGCTATACGAAAGAAGACCACCAAAAAATTTAATGCTGATGATCCACATTCTTCCATCACCAAAGTAATAGCAGCACCAACATCCAGCGGTGAGAGCCTAACCGTTGCTAACCACTTACTTACCTTCTCGGTAATTTTAATAAATTTTTGCCGTTTATTAAGGTACCATTTATTTTGATTAGATTGTTTAATTTTCGAAAAATTATTCACGATAAAAAAATTATTCATTAAGAATTTGTCTCTAAGCAATTGTCGCAAGATTTTCTTTAATTTTTCAATAATAGAAGGTTTAAAATTTTAGAGGAAATTTTCCAAGAAGTATGAATGGATATATTCTCCGCAAAAACCCATTCAGCAATAAACAACAGGAATGAAAAACGCGAGTATTGACTAGTTGGCAATGAATGAACCGAGTGCAAAGAAAAGTGGTAGGATGAAAGGCATTCTAATAGTTTTATCATGGCTCCAGGCGTAAAACTATAGTACATTTAAATCGATATTATGTGCATGTGAAAAATATGCTGAATGAATCTTATTGTAATCAGCTGCCATTATTTCAGTGTGTCAATAAAATATAAATAAACTATCCAATAAATTTCGTTGATGAGAGACTTTAGACGAATTAATTTCAGTATTTATTTATATAAGTGGTTCGCATTTACCATTCTTGATATATTAGCTGCATTGGCTGTTATGGTCAGAAAATTTTTGCCAGAGGATCATTTGGCTAGAGAAGATCGTTAGCAGATCACGGCTCAGATTTTTTAAACGCAAGTTTATTCACATCAGGAGTCCACTCCTTGTTTCTCAACATGATAAACCATTATCCACTTTCTGCATTTTCAAGATTTGCAAATTTGCGAAAAAGGAGCCTTTCATTTCAATGATATACATTTTTTTGCTAAATAAATTTGACGATAAATGGCAATCTTTATGAGATTTGTTAAAAATTTAATTTGCTTCTGCTGCTTGAATTAAAAATGTTCTGAAATCTCTTTTTTGCACTATTGATAATTTTTAAATGGAAATTTTTAATAGTTCATGTCTAAGTTTAGAAAATTTTAATCTCAAAACGAATATAAGATCTCAAAAGGCGATTTTTGGCCATTTGGGTTTGTCTTAGGGAAAGGGAAGGTGGAATTGGAAAAAAGAGACAATGTGGGAAGTGGGTTGGGGATCTGGGAAGCGATGTTCAACGTTTTTCGACGAGGTCGTCGTCGCTGCCGTCGTTCTTGCCTGACGCTATCGAGTGCCTTATCCACCTTCTAAAGGTTTACCATTCGGGGACTTGCATATGCCGTACCAGTGTTACAGAATTTATTAATATTTTAAAATTTCTTTTGTCCTTATTTTTTGTGTGAATATTAAATAAACGGTTTAATTACCTAAGTTTGAGGGTCCGATCTTTCGCAATGAGATATTTATAGGGAGAACGTTGGCGAAGAACATATAGTTAATATAATATAATTAATAATATTTTTATTAATTAAAAAATGCCGCGTGATATGCAGACTATACAGATATGCAGATGTGGAGTCCGGAAGAAAGTTTAAGGAAAATATATATAAATATATAAGTAGGAATTGCCGAGCTTCACCACAGGTGTTTTCTGTACAATATTATTAATAATAATCTCAATAAAAAATGAATGAAAGTAAAGAACATGCAATATATGTTATGCGAGAAAGCTATGTTAAGAGCTCAAAATGAAATATTAATTATCAACGATAGGAATCCTTGTTGAGCTTGAAGCCAGCCAAACTGGAAATAAAAGCTTTTCGATGAAATAGAATTTCATTCTCCAATCTCATTCAAATACAACTGACACGACAAAAGATTTCTAACTATACCATACGTGGAATTAGCCCAACCAGAAATGGTGGACATCAACCATTTATTTGTTTATTTTAAGCAGTAAAATATCTCAAAACGGAATAAAAGTTTTGTAAAAAAGTTTTTCTCAATCAAATGATTCGAAAAAGTTTTCATCACGCATCGTCCACAAATCTTCGATAATACAAAAGAAATTTTGGAAAATTTTTTTAGAAAGTTTTTAAAGCATTTATGAAAAATCAATCATTAAGAAAATCCCCATCAAAAAATAAAAAAAAGATATTTTCGCATTTATATAAAAAAAACATTCGATT